TAGCCAAATGCCGCTTTTGACACCAACCACGCAGATGCAGCATGCGGCAGGACCAAGCAGGCGCGCAACTATAGCCAAACGCCCGTCTTGCCTGCGTCCCTCCACTTTTAGTTGTTCTCCACTTTTGGGCGCGATAAGTGACTAGCTCTTCACGTTGTTCGCTTCAAGATCTCGGTATCGTAGTTGGGGGAGGACACTACTAGTGCTTCCGTATGCCTTTGCCTAATGCGGGACCATCTCTGCGCGACTCTGGTCGCCTGCGCTCGTCTGAGCCTCTTTGGAGAAGTGAGAATTGATGCAGAGGTGCCGCCGAGTGGACCCGCTCCCCCCCCCCTCCCCGAACTACATAGGACCCAACTGTGGACTTCCTCATATCGCTGGGAACTCATAAACTCAAGGCACAGTACATTTCCCGTTGTCCTCAGCTGTGCTTGCCACGATCTCAAAATAGTGTATGACCCGACGTTCGATTACTCTGAACAACAAACGGATCCGTGCTACACCTGCGCCCTGATGTGTTATGGTTGCGCAGTTTGCTTCATTTATGCATCAGAAATGCTTGCAGGAGCTCGACCGAGCGATCGAACGGCGACCCATGACTGATCATTGTTCTCAATGTAAGAGTTGTCTCTACGCAGCATTGCGATCTATCTCACTGGATATGCTAGTGAATCCTGAGGCAGGGAATTGCGGTAAACGCTGTATACTCAACCCAGAAGCGAGGACCATCATCGCCAACGTGAGGCAGTTCTTCACGAAGCTGAAAGACCATCTCGGACCCGACTCGGTGCGCGGAACCATCTTCAGTTCAGTTATTGCGGTGACTGCTACGGCGTGCGCTGTAAGCGACTCTACCGTTGAAGCGGCCTCGAAACGGGGCTCAGGGCCCAAACGAAATTCAAGCGGTTGTGGGAAGAAGAAGAAGAAACTGGTGGGTATATCTTAATTTTTGCCATGTTATCGCTCTGTAACTCGTGATGTGCTGTCAGAGAATTCTCTTGTGTTTTCCCTAGCATAATTAGTACCCTATTTCTTGGGTTAAAAGGATGCACCTTCGCATCGATCTCGGCGAATGTTATCCCTCGTTTTACTTTTGCGCGTGTTTTGTTTGTTCTTACGTATTTAAACGATCTTTTCGATGTCGAAGAACCATTCGAAAGATTTACATATGCAAAAAAGATAAAAAAATCTGTTGCTATGTCTAGCAACCTTTCATGCGCGTTATTGTGTCCCCGCTCTCTGACAATGTTTGTAAACGCGCCTTACATCCCAGAGAGAAAAGATAATGTTCATTCTTCTACATAAATTATGGGGGAAGGGGATGCTTGCGTCATGAGGTAAAACTAATGAAGCTTTTGGACCACTTGGGACAAGGAATAATGATAGCACTTTTCTGATTACCTGTTGAAGAGCTTCAGCACATCATGACGAAATTATGCAGTTTGTTGGAATGCTTCCTTTATTTATAAAAAATGCTTCAGGAGATTGGACAAGACGTACTGATCGCTGATAGTAATTCGGAAAATGTAGAGCTTTCAACACAGCTGTGGGAGCCCGACATGCCGCCTTGAACGATATGTCTAATACGTGGGTGTAAAAAATGTGTAAAAGACGATCTCTTTCTGTTTATGTTGGTGCTACCTTGTTTTACCCACAAAATTACGTAAGGAAGATTGGAAAAGATGTCAAAGACACTTATGACTTCTTCGTTAGATTGTACTCATAGAATCTCTTTGAAATGTGCAATTGTATATTTAGAATTTTCCAGCTCGTAATAGTATGTGTTTGCTCGTTTGCCTTTTGGCTGACTTTTGATTTGTTTTATTCTTTAATTTTTGCTTGCGGGACTTAAAAAGTATCATTTAGCTTTCTCTTGTTGAAACCTCGTTATATCTAGTTGTAACTTGTGTTAGTTTTTCTGGTGCTAGTAACCTTGTTGGGAGCATCTGCAGAACTCCGTGCAAGAACGAGAATTGTCACTAACAACAGCTGTAGGGCCCAAGAGGAAGAAGCTTTGAGATGGGTGAGTTGATTGTATTCGAAGCACATTGACCTAAGTTTTGCACGAGGAGTTCTCTGCTCCCCCCGAGATCACTAGTGCCGTTTTTGCACGAGATAAGAGGTGTATTAATAATACAAAGTATTTTCCTGATGTTTATTCATCGGCAGAGTGCATTGAACTAGTGAGTGCTGTAGACAAGGAAAAAGGAAGCGGGCTACTCGTAGGTCATATCACTCGAAGGTTGTTCAGTTGTAGTCTGATTCCGTTATTCGTAAACGGAGCGATGACCTGTGCTTCTCATCTCATGGTCACTGTTCATGTTGAAATGGTGCCTTCGCCTCGAATATCCAAATGCTCAGTGTTGAGTGGACTCATGACACTGGCTAGGGTGCGTTTATACTTTGCGTCGCGTCCATCAACGTTTCGAGTATAAGCCAGTGCCAGCGATTAGGAAACTAAGAATATCGACAGCATCTCGAGGGACACTATAGGTGTCGATCTAATAAACTGCAGCGTACAGCAGCGTTTTCACGGGCAGTGGTGGACGCTGGTAGACGATACCAGACTGCTGCTGCGTTCGCATCTGCAGTAGTAAAAGGATATTGTAACTGTAACGAGCTGACGCGCGGCATCGCGAACTCAGAACGCTGCCTGATGAACTGTTTCCACCCCTACTTGGAGCATTGCCAGAACAGCTGAAATGAAACCTTTCTGAAGCACTTTTTTGCCCACGAGTTCGTTCCTGTGAAATGTAGCGAAGCTTTCTGGAGAGGCCCTCCGCGATCTGGACGACGTCCAATCATTCACGCTCGAGTTCGGAACCGTTAATTTGCGCTGTCTGCAGAGAAACATAGCGCCCTCTCTAATCTACATCTTCTATTTCATTTCGGGTTAAAAGACATGACACACAACAGACAGAAAAGCATGAAATTGGCATTTCATGCTTTCTTCTCGTTTGAAGCATTTTTTTCTGTCAGTCGATGATTCACCCGAAACAAATTCATCTCCTCACGACACATCAAAAGTGCATTGCAATCCTCGTGATGTGTACATACGTGACAGGGTAACATTGCTATTTCGATAAGCATCTAAAATTAGTATTTGCCAATTGTTCAGCGTTTTTAGCACATGTCCTGCCTACGCTTCGTAAGTCGCTTCCACAAGAGTTCAAGGTTCACGCTTGCCTCCATGAGCTATGGGGTTTCCAAAGAACGGTTCTTCGCGACTGCGCCGTCCCTGACATATGATTGTTCGTTTCGGGCAGATAACGCCGTAGATGGGCTGCGGTAGGAGATCCAGGGCAAGGCAAAACAAGTGTTGCAGAGCGGCTCCGTCGCGGCGCCGGTCTTTGTAGTGTAGCAAGAATCTGTAAGCGGAACCAGTATCCGTTCACGTTCCAGTGGACATTCATAGATTGCGCGTAAGCATACAATGCTTTTCACTGTGGCACTGGAGCGAGCTATCTTGCGATGTGTGCTGGAAAAAGGCCAGAATGCTTCATGAAGTACCTTTTTGAATATTCATAACTTTCTCGAGAGTAGAGATTCTGAAGAGCGGTGGGCAGGGTAGTGAAGGACTAGGTTTGTTGTTTATTGAATGTGCTTTTGACGGCTCTCGAAACATCCTTTTGAGTAGCTCCGCCCCGTTATGACGTTCTTGTGTCATTTTGGTGTCATGTACGACTTCTTACATTGAACAGCCTTAACTTTCTACTCATTTGATCTCTCAAGAAAGCGGCTAAGTGGCGCCATAATGTAGAGGACTTCCTGCCTTCCCAGAAAAGTTCCTCCAAATCTTTTCTTCATCATGGTCGATGGTTCAGAAACAAATTCTTCGTGATGATTTTGCTGCTGACGAGGTCCCAGAACACGCGAAAAAATCCCACCGCACCTTCCACGCGCCAGTATCCCATTTTAATTGAGTAAAGCTTCTAGAAACCACCGGTTTTGCGTCCCCGGGCAAATTACGTTCGCGTATTGCGCCATGCATGCCCGAACTCACATACCATAGAGGTGCGTTTGAAAATTTTAGCCTCCGAGGTATTGCTTCTCCGTGTGAGCAGATGTGCTCCTGCGGTTCAGATTTTTCCTAGCGTAAACTGTATTTTGATTGTTCATTGATTCGTCACTTCGCCAGTAGCGCTTACCGTATTTGTCACCTCCCGTTCCCCACTTCCGAGCTGGCAACTTGGCCTCAAACCCAAGGCTTCCTCTTGCAAGTAATGCCCGCGATCAATCGCCAAAACATAGAGACTAGGGGTCTGTATATACACGGCCAAGTTCAATAACTCGCCCAATGATGAAAAAAGTAGAAGCACAGACAATGACCAAATGCGTCTTGATAGGCCACACATTCGATCCCCGTTGTACGTTGCCCATTCTTTCAATCTCCCAACACTAGCACTCATCTGCACAGTTGATTTTCCGATAAGAACTCTGCGACGTACAAGTAACGATTTTCATGCTTTTTCGTCCTGCAGCCTCGTTTTTTCACTGAAAGGCGGGCCTTGAAGGCGGAGTCTGGAGGCGGAGTCACTGGAAAAAAGGAGGCGTCACTGAACCTATATTGCGCTATAGCGCCCCTCCCTTACAATTTTTTGCCGCGAAATCGGTGCATGTTCTTCGTAAGGGACCACACTATCCTCTCGACGCCATATTTTTATGTTCAACTCCGATGCCTTATAGCGGACCGTACCTTAGCAAGAACCATGAATGCATCTTTTATCAATCAGTCAATGTGCGTCATCTCAGTGTTGCTGCTCTTCCCACTTCTGAGCAGGGTACAGCATCGTGATGTGTGAAATGGTGGTGTATGACCTCCCCCTTCGAGAAAGAGTGTCAGTACGACCCCTCCCCCTTTCCCCAACATCTACCTACTAATTTCCCATAGTTTCCAGTTTTTCTACCCAAAAATTTCCCGGAGAGGGAAAGGTATATAGCCAATGAGAAACAGGAAAATTCTTAAATTATCCCAACTGCCTACCACTTTTTCCGGAATTTCCCAAGAGTTTTCCTACTTTCCCCGAAAAATTTGACATTTTGCTGTCGAGGGAAAAACAGGAAAAATCACGCAAAACGTGAACAACTAGTAAATTTTTTTCCTCACGCAGCAAATTGCTCTCCAAGACACATACGACCTCCCCCACCTCCCCTCTCCCAACGACCCCCCTCCCCAGCGGAAAAGTACAACCCCCTATGTTTTTCACACACCACCCTGCTTCTGAGTGAGCCCTGAGTGTCTGCTTACAACCTTCTTCCCATTCGCAGTCTCTTACAGCCTCCCCTTTGTTGATTTCCACACCGAAGGCGTCCCCTGGCAACAGGCTCATATTTTCGATGTGGTTAGTACATCAATTACGCAGAAATGAGCTAAAAATGCTCACATATTCATCACTCCGTGACATGATAAGCTGCTGTCGGCTTTAACCAGTGGTCGTTCTTTGTGTCATTGGCTTACCATTAGGACATTCAAAGAAGTCATGAGCCAGCCTAGGCTGAGAAGTGCACGAGGCAGGTGACGTCAGTGAATGACGTGAGACTTGAATAAGGTAAGAAAGATAAGAAGTGAGACAGACATGTGTAGAGGAAAATGTGATAAAAACACTGCTTGCTGAATTTATTGGCACTCGTAAACTATAAACTTAACGGACCCTGTGCTCGGGCGATCATAGAACGCACGCTTCTGTAGTTTTCCTGCCCTTTAACAATAGCAATACCATTGACCATTATTTAGTCAAGACAACTGGCACGTGATCTGTGAGGTGTATAAAGGCCTTAAAAGCGCTTCCCATAAATATTAATTTTGCCGTCCATTTTACTATTTCGAAATCGTCCTTTCACCAAGGGCGTCACAGTTTGCTCCTCAAACGCTTACATATTCCAATTTTATGTCTGTGTTGCCTGATAGCTGATAACGATCTCTCAGTTCCTTTCATGCCTTATTGGTGCCACTATTTCGCAAGAGTGCTAAGTTAGAGCAGAAGTCTTGACCTCCGGCGGGACTTTGAGCCGAGCACCTCGGGCTTTGCAGGAGAGTGAGACATCTGTGACGCTAACGAGGTAGCCCGCAAACTCCCAGCTCGAGACGGCATCTTTACCGTGACTTTACAGCTCTCACAATCACTTTGTATGATAAACGGAATGGATTTAGTGCGGGTTTCGAGTCCGCTGGGGTCATACACGTTATGCAATAGCTCTGCATTCAATAACTCTAGATTCAAACCGCTGACACCCTCATGATTTGGGAGAAATTTTGGGAATCGCACCTCTCCCCTGAATATCCTATTCAGTATTCGATTTACGATTCCTCATCCTACCTCTATCATCCCTGGATTTTACCAATTTTCTTAGCAACTTGCCCGACTTTTTCAAAAGTTCTACAGTTTTTGTTCGCCAGAAGACTGTTGAGCAGAAATTGGATGTACAATATTTTCCGGTTCTCATCCAAAAAAAAAAAAGCTTTTGTTTTTGCCCCCGGTCCCCCGAAAAATTTTTTTTTCTCTGATAAGCAATGCGACTCGCCGCCATCCCTTAACTTCCGCGACCAAGGAAGGATTCATCCTCGCTGGGA